TGGGATGAAGTCAAGAGCATCAAAGACAGCATAAGCCAGTGGGAACGCAACTCCACTTGCCTCTAACAGACGGCAAGGATTGATTTTCTGGGGTGTATAAAGACTAAGTTGGGTTAGTATCGAATGGAGGTGAGTTGGGCTATAACAAACAGCGACAGCGACAGAAAGGTAGCTGGCATTCCAGTTTCAAGATCCAACTTGACTCTGTGTTTAGGATGTCGTTGGGTGCCATACCAGCCAATGATAGAGTAGTAAACTTGCTTTGCTTACTAGAGGTACACTGGGTAGTTATCAAGAGTGCCCACCCTCTCTGTAGCCTGTCCAGGCCAGTATAGCCGAGTTCCATCTCACCACCCAGTGCTAAGTGGTGGACGACAACCCTATCTGTCACTGGAGACACAGTGCAAGAGAAGACTTGACCATCGGAAGACTGGACTGAGTGCAGTACTGACAGAGCCTGATTTAACTCCATCAGTGCAGAGTCGACAAGTTTCAGTTGACTTTCAGCAGTGAGATTTCTTTGGCCAGTCTTATTGATGGAGTCCATGTTCTCCCTCATCTCTCTACCAATGTCTAGTCTTTTCATCACCTTCACCGTGTCTTTGCATGACTCAAGCTGAAACCTAAGCAGCTTGCCGTCAATACTGATGGCTGTAGCACTGAAGCTTCATTGAGAGATGGTGGGGAGGCCCCTGTGATAAATGACATACATGTTGCAGAAACAGGGACATGGAGAATTGAACTGTGACTAGGGACCACAACAGAGTAGTAGAACTGGCATCTAAATCCACTGACTTTAAAAGGCAAGAAGGCTCGAGGCAAATGCGGTATATTCCACTCGTGTTACTGTAGACAAAGCTATGCCGTTCCACAAGGAAAGAGGAGAGGATTGGTCCGGTAACACTGAACTCGGCCACCAAAGGAGCCTCTCTCCCTTTCTCTGCCTCAGTCAAAAGCACCAACTTCCCTAACCTTCCAACAACAAGCAAGGAATTGGCTGATGAGTCTTGACTTTGCTGATGTTCAGGATGCGTAGGCAAACACAGGGGGTGAATGGCAACTACAGGTTGGCCCAGGTTACACAAGGTATTATTGGATAAAGAGGCACCTGATTCACCAGAAGAAGGGGTGCAATAACCACGTGTGTCGAGAAATAAAACTGCACCACTTTGGGTCCCAACGATGGCGACAATTGACCGAGCTAGAGACAACTCGAAACCAAAAGCTGACAGAAGAAACGTCCGAGGCAGACGAGCAATACTCAATGTTGAACTGTCACTCTCACAGAAGACTGGGAGCGGAGAAGAGATAAAACAGGCTGTAGGCTATAGTTGTAGATAAGAGCCCCTTAGAGGCACACTGCAAGACCTATCTCATGTCGAAAGAGTACGCCATTGGAAAACACTGGAAGCTTATGTTCACCCAAACAGGGTAACGGAAGAAGACTGATAGACATGAGAACAGAGCAATGCTCCTTCCTTGCAGAGATGATGAGCTTGTCATTACAGACAAAGGCAGAACAGATGCTCCACTGACAAACAGGGAAAGGAATAAACTAACTGAGACATCGCGTCATCAACAGCTTGTGCTGGAGGTGATATGTTGTCACAAGTCTCTCCAAACAGGGACGAGAGAATATCAGCACTTGGAGCTCTGTTGGAACCCTGGAAATCGCACTGTAAAGATGAGGATATACATACATACAGATGAAAACTATTCGCAAGAAAATTTGACAGTGTTGCATACGTAGCTTACAGTTTTAGGAAAGGGCAGAAATAGTCCCATGCTAGAGGCACAGCAGAGTGCTAGCGCAGCTGCTTGTGACCCTGACAAAGTAGCTCACATGAAGCACAGCAGCAGTGTCATAAAACTTCACTGAGACTGAGGTTGCAGTTATGAGCAGGTAACACCAAAAGCAAATCGCTGCATTGTAAAAAGAGACTTGACCACTTTCTCAGAGATGATAAAACAAAAGGAGGATCCATATGGCAAGAACACTGAAGACTGGGCTGTGTCATAGTTTCAGCTTCAAGGGCAGGAGGAATCACTTTGCATGCAACCCTTCAACAGCATCATGCATCATGATCCAACATAGCGCGCCTATAAAATAGGCGCACTTAGAAAACTGCAAGTATATATATTATACCTCAACTTGAGGCGAAAGAGAAATATTGAACCTAAAAACGTGTCCGTCTGTCAGTGCTCGGGGGGCCGGGTAGGACAGTGATGGCAGTCTCTCCACTCGTTTGTAAGCCAGCGACAGCAAGGTCTTCTCCCACGTAACGTCTTCTCTAGAGCGTCAGAGGTATACACAATAGCTGCACACCTTCTTTCCTGCTCAGCTGTGGAGCAGGTGCGTGTTGTGTAGAACGTACTTTGTTCTGTGCAGATTCCTTGTATCTGGTGTGTTCGACGAGACTGACAAATAGTACGTAGTACTGGAGGGACTAGGTATGTTGAGTTAGTGGCATATCTGGAGAGAATTGTCTCTAGACACATTCATACACAGACAAACATTTCTACAAATTGTTAATTGCAGTTTCGGGTATGTTTAGTGTTATAATGTGAGCTGTCGCGTGCGCTATAGTGAGCTTGTCAGTATCGCTAGATGAAGCATATCTAAATATGTATTACAGCACAGAACGATCCTACAAGGTGTGTATTGTTAATTGCAACACATAGCACATGTGTACGATGTAGGTGAGCTGTATAGTGTAGCGGTTGTCCGCTGTCTGTGTGTTCCCGTGATGAAACTCTGTGTGCCGGAGGAGACTCGGCGGATCCAGGCTGAATCGGATCTGATGACTGCCATCAGCATATCTATGACATGGCCACAACGGGGACTGGTACATACAGTCTGTCATCTTATCACCCTAAGCACTGTAGGGATGCGTAGCCTCTGGTCACATGAAATCAACCCACGGTGGACATGATATACCACTTGCTTTTGTGCATGTAGTACCTCTCTAGCTCTTCATCATTGTTTCTGCACAAAAAGTAGTAAATAGGATTTTGATGTCAGGTTACATGATTTTAACGGTCATCTTACAGTATAGCTCTCATAATTACTGCCGTTCCACTCCCTGCTAATGTACATAGTTTACCTTATCCACAAAGATGTGTATGCCAGTTCTTTCATACTGAGGGTTTTGCAGTTTCAGTGCTTTCAGGTGTAGAGCCAAACACTGACCACTTTGTGTGCCATTGGTTTTGCTGTAGACGTGTCACTCATTTCACACAAGTCACCAGTCCAACATTTTCAGTGCCAAGTTCCTCCCACAGACTGGGGACTGTAAGGTCGCAGTTTATGCATTAATGACGAGCAATGACGCTGCTCTAACGAACTTTAGGCCACTTTCGTCGCTGGTTAATAAGAAGCTCTTGGGGACATCAAAGGTGAGGAGGAGGGGAGAAAAAAAAGGGCAGAGAAAGGGGGGAGAGGGGGCGCAGGGGGTAAGTTAGAGGATGGGGGACCATCAAATTTCACTTTTCTCAGTATAGTTAGCTTGATGTATAATGTATGTAACTATATAAACGACACATTTTCTTGGCTTGGCAAACAAAATTTCAGCAGTTGTGCTATATTACGTAAACATTATACTAACCTGCACAAGTGATCATGACATAAGAATGAAAAATTCGTGTGTGCAATTCATATGACTCGGTGGGCTGCTTCTATTGCCTTTTAAGTCGTCATGTAGAGAGAGAATGTTCAGCTACAATAAAATGTTGTGGGGTGTGTGACTCATCTTTTGAACAAAGTTCTGCTGTTGAACACGCTCACTGTATGACGTCTGTGCAGGCGTGTCGTGTGCAGGGCATAGGTTCAGTGGAGGGTCAGAGCTGAGTCGCACGGCGACGATGTCGGCCACCAGTCAGTGCCAGTCCTCCATCACACCCTTACAGGTGAAGCCTGCCTGATGGCGAGTCACATGTACTGGTTCATGAAGCAGTGGGGTCTATTAGAGAGTACGTACCAAGTGTGCTAGAGAGAGAGCTCTGGTGAGGTTAACTTTTAAACGCTAGCTACAGTATGAATCATCTATGACATTCGATCAACTGTACGCTCATCATGTGTAGCACTCTCTTCCCTGCGATGTTTGTGACATATATGTTCTATGATGTATGAGTGCTTGAGGAGTTGGCGTGTTTATTAACTGTCCGTCATAATGTGCGGCAATCACGCACTCATAGTCCGCCATGTGTAACACCACGTAATGCAGTAAACCTACATCGATTGGGAAAGAAGACTACTTGTGTGTGACTACATGTGTCGATTGCTCATCTGCGCAACGTCATGCGATGTGAGAGGTACTAAAGATGAACACAAACGCCCAGAGCCCCATACATCATGATGCTGGTACCATGTCCATCCCGTACTACCGTACTTAGTGATACACGTAAGATGAGCTGGTAATACAAGGCTACTACAACTGTTCTCTACAGGTGGCCACTAGTCTACAGGCTGTCCTCACGAGTTCTTCACATGCGAGGCCGTGTGGGATTATGGCAGATGTACGACTTACGACCTCCAGCTCCTGCCACTGTAGACGGCAACCTGCAGCAACCGAGTAGAGTAGCGTCTCACTTCTATGTATGTACATGCACGTGTGTGTGTGTGTATCTATGTCATGGAGGTGGGGTCACCGTGGGACGCTGTCAGCTTCTGTTAATGCTATTCTGTGCCTTTGCATCTGCCTTGCAGACGCCTTGCAACCTCATGTTCTTCACTTGCAAAGGATTCACACACTGTTACTGTATCTCTCACTTCTTCACTCATTGTTTTTTACAACGCCTACTCTGCAATGTAGCCTTTTATACTCTCTCTCTCTTTCCCTCTCTGCCCTCTTCTTTCTCTTTTCTCTACTTTCTCCGCTTACTTCTTTTTTCCTCTCTCTCTCATTACCTATATTCTCTCTTTCTGTCTTAATTTTTCTGCCCCCTCCCTTTCCTACTCCCCTGGCCTCAGAGTATGCTGTGCAGGTTGCCCAGTGCGTGACTCCATGGTGTCCATCCTCTAGAGCCTCACTATGTAGTGGTTGGACTGGGAGATGGGACACTTCGCCTTCTCGACAGATGGCGCAGCGACACCTGGCAGGACCCAGCACCCGACTCACCGACTCCAGATACTCATGCCTGTGTCTGTGTCCCAGTGAGGCCTGTAGCAGGTGGGGCGGGGCTAAGGTCTCGCCAGCCACACCTCCTCCGCCCAGCCCCCAGAGCTGGGGGAGTTTCGTAGGCTCTCTGTGCTCCAGTGCTAACAGTGGACCAGTCATCAGTTTCACCAGTGGAGATGTCTGCAGAGGTGAGCAAAGAGGTGGTTGTGGGTTATGCGGGGAACACTGGAGGTAGCGACTAAGGCTAAGGTTCACAATGTCGCAAATTGCCCCGTAGTCGCATGTGCGCATTGCACGTGCTACAAGGATAGAATCTCTATTTATCTTTGTGCCACGACACAATGGGGTATGTGATGTATATACAACCAGCCTCATCGCGAGAAGTGTCAGCAAACCTATTGAGGTATATATACATGTATGTTTCAACTGACATTTGCCAACATCTGACTATTGAATTAATCTAAATGTACACCTATGTTTTCTGGACGGTTTTAAAAAAACAAAATACATTATTTTGTTTACTGTTACTAACCAACTGACATAATACGTAGCAAAGGACATCGGCCAAGCACAGTTGTTTTTTTTCCACTGCACCTCAGGTACGACGAAATACAAGACAGACATCTACATGGAGTGTGACCGATCCATCACTACTGACGACAGCAAGCCAGTCTTCCAACAGGTAATACACGTATATGCGTAATGTAGTAGCATGCACGGAATGTAGTGAAGCAGTTAGGGAGGAATGTGCATAGTATGGTCTTTGAATGTGCAGCAAGTACACCACAGTCAGCCCCCCCCCTTCTTCCTCAATTGCTCCGTGGGTGAAACCCTGTGTCTTCCTCAATTGCTCTGTGGGTAAACCCTGTGTCTTCCTCAATTGCTCTGTGGTAAAACCCTGTGTCGCTCACCCCTGTGTCTTCCTCAATTGCTGCGTGGGTAAAACCCTGTGTCTTCCTCAATTGCTGAGTGGGTAAAACCCTGTGTCTTCCTCAATTGCTCCGTGGGTAAAACCCTGTGTCTTCCTCAATTGCTCCGTGGGTAAAACCCTGTGTTTATTCTAAGAAATAGTCTATCAAAACTTGTTTCACACGTTTCAATCTTCAGTGTGACTTCTGTATGTACAATTATGAATGTTGTTGGTTGTGTGATGATTGCAGAGCATGTCAAGAGGCTGTACGAAGGTGCTGTTCTGGTCCAGTCCATATGCATGTCACAGTGAGAGGACCAGCTGTACTCACACTGCGGGGGACAAGTTCTTTGACTTCACTCCACTCCAGGCTAACCCTGGGGAAAAGGCCTGGAAGACACACCACAGGTAACATAACCTTAGACCTTAGACACATACACATGTGTGTATAGTTGCTATTGTATGCCATAATGGACACACCACATCTAACCTTAGACACATACACATGTGTGTACAATCTCTGTTGCTAGCCTACTCAACTAAGGCTAACCCAATGCAATAGCTACATGTACATGCTGTACAAACTAGAAAGAAGGCTTGATGAACACAGGTTGTGAACTGAGAAGAAAAGTATTCTGAGTGTTCCGCTATGTTCATACACACGAGGAGATATTGTCAGGAATCTAGAGTACATGAGCATGATGAGTTACTCTCTGTTTTCTATATAGCGGAGATGAGTACTATGTCAACTTGTGCGGATCAATTCCAGAATTCACTGGTGAGCATCCCCGCATGCATCCACACACACACACACGCTGATCTCTCTCTCTCTCTCCCTCCTCCCAGGTTGTGACCCAGAGACTGCAGTCTGTCTGCACACGTCAAAGGGAGAATGGCTGAGTATTGGAATGACCTCCACTCAGGAGATTATTGGAACTAGTGAGACATCTCCCACTGCCCCTTTCCCCCCTTCACTTCATTCACTGTACTTCCCTCTGTCCTTTATTGGCGAGCAAAGCGAGTCTAGTCGTATTTGTCTTGATGCAGCCTTTTTTTCTATACTGATCTGTGACAAGCACTGCACATCCCCTAATGCTCTACGTGATTCTAACTATGCTTGCGCTAACGAAAAATTAGTAGCATTTGTTCTAGTGAATATGCAGCACCACATTATGCTTTTGGATGTTTAAACTATGTTTATCGCTGTGGCTTGTGCAAGTTGATCAGAGGAGAGGAAAATTTTATAAAATATAGATAAAACTCTGTGTTATAACAAGAGAGTGGAGAGTTGATAATGGGGGAGACCCACCCTAAATGAACTCCTATAGAAGTATTTCACATGATATGTTTTATCGTCTATTTCTTTGCAGCTGACGATCACATTCAGATCAAGTTCAGCGGGAGACACAAGTGCAGAGACGTGACCTCTCACGTCACCATTGACATGAGTTGCGGCCTCTCTGGCCTAACACTGGACAGGTCTGCTTATAGTATACCACACTGGGTGGATATGTACATATGTACCTGTTCCTCTGGTCTTACCTTGTCTTGTTCACTTCTCTATACTTAGAAATGATGAGAACCTGTGTACTTATGAGTTCTTGTGGAGCACACCTTATGCCTGCCACGTGGAGGACACGTGAGTTTGCAGGCATCTTATTTCCTTGTATATGAATGCCATCTTATTTCCACAGTTTCTGCAGGGTGCATGATGTAATAGTAATAAAGTTGTAGTCTAAGTTACGGACTATTTCCCATGTGTTCTGTAGGATTCAGAAATGGACAAAGTGTGAAGATCAGCTGAAGTGAAATGAATATGATGGACTCGTTTTTCTACCAAACAAACTAAAGAGCTCTGACGGGTGTGTAATGTGTGTGTTGATACTAGAGTGTTGGGATGGTGGATCTGGACAATAGAGTAATGGACCATCCGAGAAATACATGGATGATGTAGGTCAGTCTAGTTATTTCCACAGTTCTGCAGGATGCATGATGTAATAGTAATAGAGTTGTAGTCTAAGTTATGGACTATTTCCCATGTGTTCTGTAGGATTCAGAAATGGACAAAGTGTGAAGATCAGCTGAAGTCAAATGAATACGATGGACTCGTTTTTCTACCAAACAAACTAAAGAGCTCTGACGGGTGTGTAATGTGTGTGTTGATACTAGAGTGTTGGGATGGTATGGACCATCCGAGAAATGTTGCCGATTATGTGTAATGACGGGTGTGTAATGTACATTATATGTTGATACAGAGTGTTGGGATGGTGGATCCTCAAAGAATGGTGATCTGTTGTTATCTGTGTGTGTGTCTGTGTCCCCAGGATGTTGGTAGTGGAGGGAGACTCAGTTCAGAGGACGTTCCACGTCAGTCTGTGTGGCGTCAACTCCCACTGTCCTCACGGCTCCTCCGTCTGCTACACCGACAGCTCCGGACTCACCACCAATGTCGCCACCTCCTCTCTCCAGACCATCATGACTCAAGGTATGTTAGACACATCGAAATGTCTCTCTCTAAACCAATCACAGCTTCGACTTGTTTCTCTCAACCAATCACAAGCTTCAAAGAATCTCCTAGTGACTTCATTAACCCTCGGCGCGCATGCGCAGCGAGGGTTACAGTACTTGGGTCTGTGTGTCTGTGTGTCTTTTACTCTCACTTCTCGGGTGTTTGTTCGTCTCACAAAGGATACCACCTACTGAACGGGCAATGAAGGTTAGAAATTTTCTCTGAAAACGCTCCGTTGCAAAGCTAGAGCGCGAAAAAGCCAATATGCAAATACACAACGGCTTACCACGGCCCGCGTGCTCTGCGTACCTCGGAGTCACCAGAAGATGCAACGCAGGGCGTGTATCGCCTCTCGCATGCTATCTAGTAGTGTAGTTAGACCGCGTCAGACTCTGCGTGAGCTGGCAAGAGACCACGAGTAACAGCTAAAGCTAAACCCAGCCCATCAATTAGTGGTACGGCGCATGCGTTTACTTACGATTGTGCGTCACAGTTCGACGAGGGTTTGCACTTCAGTGCTTTTCATTTGACTAAGTTTTGAGTCACGGAATATGTTGTTTACTCAATGCATAGAGTACGCCATAAGAAGAACAGGTTATGATCATGGCTAAGAATAAAGAAAAATGCTGGCCAGCAGATTTCGCGACTCAAATCCGAATCTTCATGTATATACTCTTTTTGTAAACTAAACAGCTCATGTACATGTTGTGTACAGGTCCTTGTTGCATGGCACACAGGGAAAGATACCCAAAATAGGCCAAGGCAATGTAAAATCTAGTTTGGCAAGCAAAGTTTTGAAGTTAGGTGCCAATGCGACACTGTAGCTCTAACCCACCATGACTGTGTATAGGAACGTCGATGTGGATTCAGATGAACTCAACTGACGTTTCTCTCACGCTATTGTCAATGTGGAGTGTGTGGACGACAGTGCTGACGTCAGCAGAGCTGAAACTGTGAGCAACTGTTTCTTAGCAGTGAAACAAGGTTTGAGAGTGAATGTCTCCACAGATGGAGTTTGTGAAAGTCACTACGTCGACCGCTGGCAGTGAGAGGCACACATTCTATCACTTCAACATGTGGACCAAGAAAGGCTGCTCCTTGTAAGAACACTGCAATTAGCAACAACCTGTGAGATTGGTCTCATGTGTGCGATTGTCTGTTTGCTTAGGCATTACTACGTAGACATGGATTTACACAAAATGCTATTGAGTTCTGTCAAGTACTGGGAAACACACATACATTGGTGGACTCTAAATATAGGTTAGACGCGGAAGCGAGGTGTCTACGCTACATTGCAACCCGAGGGGCTGTGGAATGTTGGCGTCCCGAGCGCAACGAGGGCGCTACCCACATGCATATGCCCCGAGGGTTGCAATGTTGCGTAGACAACCGAGCTTCCGCGTCTAACCAGTTTAGACCGGAGTATCTGATTGGTGTTTGCGCGTTCAAATGGGTAGCAACAAGCTAGCAACGCTGCGCTCATTCCTCATTCCTTACCTTCGGATGGAACAAGACGTGTGAGACTCCGAGGAAACAGCCCCCGCCCCCCGTCAAAAATCGTTTACGTCATCATAAAACGCCCTCATTGGTGGTGCGCGTTTGAAAGGGTTAGCAACGCACGGCAACGGCCCAATGTGTTTGTGTATCGCCAGAGCTGAAGAAGCCGACGCTTTTTTCGTGGAATATTGACGTGATTTCTGACTTTCGCGAGCTCCGGAGACTGTCCACAGACTTCTTGCAGGTGCACTACGCATTTTAAAAGAGCTACTTTGCCAGTCGCGCCTTCTACGCTTACATATACCGAACGCGGAATCGGCCAGTTTGCGCAGATAACGACTTTTGAGAATAGCCATTTTGTACGGGGAGATTGCTGTAGACCACCTGCAAACGCCATAGACACCTGAAACGAGGTGTCTATGAAAAATAAACCCCCCGCAATTCTGTAATCTGATTGGTCAATTGCGCGTGACTGCGGTCTAAATATAGGTTAGACGCGGAAGCGAGGTGTCTACGCTACATTGCAACCCGAGGGGCTGTGGAATGTTGGCGTCCCGAGCGCAACGAGGGCGCTAGCTGTAGACCACTTGCAAACGCCAAGACACCTGAAACGACGGTGTTATGGAAAAATAAAACCCCCCGCAATTTCTGTAATCTGATGGTCAATTGCGCGTGGACTGCGGTCTAAATATAGGTAGGACCGGAAGCGATGGTGTCTACGCTACATTGCTCCAAACACGGAGGGCTGTGGAATGTTGGTCCCGAGCGCAACGAGGGCGCTACCCTAAATGCTAGTGTAGTATTTATGTGGAATTGGTCTACTGTACTGTAGGCATGTGAATCTTGCAGTGCAGTAAGTAAGTATGAATTGTTAACAGTTCTCTGTAAGTTGTCATGCGTCTAGAGCTGGACGGATACTTTCTTCACCAGGTTACCACAGGAGTAATTAATCCTCGCTCCCCATCTGTCATGGCTTGGTAGATTCAAAAGAATGGTTTCCCCTTTCCCTGTTTTTCTTTTCCTCAAGGATAAGGGGGGAAATGGGGAAGGGGAAACGGGAAAAGGGGGAGGGGGAAGGGGGGGGAGAGGGGAATGGACAAAGGGGAGGGGGAAAGGGGATAAGGGGGGGGGAAAAGAAGGAAAAAGAGAGCAAAGAACACAAAAAAGTAGAGGAAAAGGGGAAGGAACCGGGAAGCAAGGGGGGGGCAGGGGGGGGGGGGCACAGGGGGGAGGGGGGCGAGAAAAAGAACTGAGGAGGAGGGGGGGGGGGGGGAAAGGGGGGGGGGGGGGCGGGGGGGGGGGGGAAAAAGGGGGGGAGGGAAAAGTAGAAGAGGGGTAAAAGGAGGGAGGGGGGAAGGGGGGAAAGGGGAAAGGGGGGTGAGGAAGGTGGGACAAAGGAGGGGGGGGGGAAGGGGACACGGGGGAAAAAGGGGGGGGAAAGGGGAGAAAAGGGGAAGGGCATGGGAACAGGGGGGAAACGGGGACAGAGGGGGGGGGAAAGGGCAAAGTGTTGGGTGGCAAAGATGTGTGAGGGGTGGGGCAAGACACGAGGGGTCAAAACAGACAAAAGTGGGGTGCCGACCCGGGGGTTTGACCAACGGAACCCATTTTTTCCTTCAATCTGTTAAGTTTCTTTTTGTCTTTTCAATGTAAGGTTTTCTCTCTGCAGCCTACACCAACCACAGCACCGTACACTCCACCACCTCAGTCACAAGAGTACAATAATGGCGGAGACCACAGTTTGGTGGGCAGTGGTTCGTCTGGCTCTGGTGGTACCTCATCGACCGTTGTGGCTCTGTTGGTCACACTAGTGGTACTGATGGTAGCCGCCATCTTTCTTGGCTTTATCTTCTACAAGAAAGAGAGACGGTAAGCTAAGAAGGAGTACCCCACAGTCTGTAGCTCATTAGATTGTGTTCCTTGTAGGGATAGATTTATTAACTTGTTCAAGAACAAGTCATCTGAACCGGTCAAGTATGAAAAGGTTAGTAACAATAGTGTGCAGTGTACATAAGATGTGCCTCTCTAAAAAAAGTGGGATCTGGAGAAGAAGTTGGGATTAAGACAGAGGAGTCTGTGGTGGATTGTTTGTCCTTTTCTCCCCACGAAATTGGCAGAGAAAATGGCCATTAACCACAAGTTTGCATTTCCTATGCTGTTGATACAACTACACAAAACCTAACTCAAAATCCAGACCTAACTCAAACTCTGTGATTTGAAGCTTTCCCAAATTATTACTGGGGCCATCTTAATTTCCCAAGACTATCTTAACTTGCCAAAACCTCACTCAGCTGAGTTTGTAGCTAGCCACCCAGTGTTTCTGCTCTATACTGTGCAGTTACCAATGACTCTTACCGAGGAGACATCTCTACTGGAGGAGGGTAGTAGTGGGAGTGAACATGGGGAGGGGAGTGGGGAGGAAGAGGGGGAAGGGGGAGGAGGGGAGGGAGGGAAGAGAAGACCCCGTGACCAAGACGAAGAACTCCTTAATTTATAGTGGTACTTAGTGTCTCACAACTGTACACATCCTTCACTGCCATTGTTTTAACTATCCTTGATCCAGTATTGCTTTTTGCTGGAACAATTCAGCACAATTTGCCAAGTCAGCAAGAACACGTTCGCTAGTGTATGTCCGCTGTCGTATTGTGGTACTTTGATGACTAGCTACGCTTGATTATGTCAACAACCAAGATATTCTGGTAATAAACAGACACACGTAATATCAGTTAAGGTTAGAGTACAATGTTTCTATTGCTGCTTTAACTTTCCTTTTCCCAGTTCTCCATAGAGTGGCTCCTAATGCACGAATCTCCAAGTATCGTTTGTAATCTCCTTTTGGAACCTTCTTTCCCTCCACCACTTCCTCTTGTTCCCGGTTGTCGTAGGGAGCTTCCTCCAACATCTGTCCTTGGAACCTACTGACTACTTCATCTACTTCCTCTTTTGGTGTAGAAGTCTCAGGATGCTGTGTATAGGAAATATGGATAATGTGTTTCCTACAGTCCAATGCATGTGTGGATACAGTGAATCCAATGCATGTTTGGCAAACAAGAAACTTTTAATTTGTAGCCTCATTCCGAGGCCTCCCCTGATGCGTGAATGTTTATGCGACGTGACTTTTGCACTGTCCTGTGTGTGTCATGCGTCGCGTAAACGTACACATAGTGTAGAAGGCCAGGGAAAGACGTTAGGTGCCCTGGTAGCTTAGTTGGTAGAGTGTTTGCCTAAAGAGCAGAGTGTCGCTGGTTCAAGTCCCACCTAGGCCAGCTCTTCCTTTTTCCAGGAAAAAGAGAGTTGTCCTGGGTGTAGTTGACTTGTTTGCTTTGCCCTTGCCATTCTATCTCACCTTGTTGTTGTCGCATGCAATGTGCATCATCCACTAGCTGTGATACTTGCAACACTTTGAGACATGGGTATGTATGGCAGGATAGAGAAGCTACATGTCTTACCTCCACATCAGTGGTGCTATCTGGCTGCCCCCAGCGGTTTAGTTCATTGCAGACATCAGGAAACTCATTAGGAGATGCAACACCCAATGCTGTCACACCCGCCTACAGTGGCGACGGATAGAAGGAATGCAAAGTGTTACTAGCAAGTGAAGTGAGCAGTTCAATTTTTCATGCGTTTTACACGTAATCACGTGTAACATTGCGGTATGAGCAGTGCTCAATGTTACATAATTAAATATTCAGCATTCAGACGACTAGGCAGGCTCGTTTCGATCGCCAGTTATGAGTGTAGCTCACCGAATTCCTGATCAGTGGGTCAGCTCCATGTTCCATGAGGACCTTCACTGTGTCCAGATGACCTCCCTTGCAGGCAAACATCAGAGCTGTGTATCCAGTATTCTATGGAGGACAGATGTACAATTGAACCCATCAAGTATGATATCATGTGATACGTCAAGCACAGCACTGCACAAGCTATCACAATGGGTACAATGCTCTTTAACTTGCTGTGATACTCAACTGATTGCTGGAGGTTAGGATTAGCTTGAGAGTCAAGTAGCAGTTTTGCCATCTCTGAGTCTCCTTGTTCACAACACATCATCAGAGGAGAGAGTCCTCCCTGCACACAAACCACACATACAAACAACCTCTAATGTCACATGTGTTACTAACACACCTGCTCCATTTGGTTCACATCGGCATTAGCTTGTACCAAGTCTCTGACCATTGCCAGGTTTTTGTGTCTTACGGCCTGCAGTAGTGGAGTCTGTCCACGCTGGAGGAGATAATAAAGAGTCAGAAGTGCAGTTGGAGAGTTAGTAAGATTACGTTATTGCAGCCATTTGGGTAGGCACCAGCTCTCAGGAGGACAGAAGCTGTGGTCAAGTCATTGTTCTGACAGGCTAGCAACAGTGCTGTGTCATTATACTGCAGTAAGAACACCATCATTGTACTCCTGCAAACAAATAACCAATCCCATAATACCTTCTTGGTAATAAGGTCTACTCTGGCTCCATGTTGTAATAGCTTTTCCACCACCTCCACATGTCCGTGCTGAGAAGCTACAATCAGTGAACTCCTCCCATCCTAATCAAACATTACACTGCAGCTGATGATGTGCTCAGTATGGAGAGTATAGTAGTGTGGTCAAAAATTATTAAAGTACGTTCGCGCTGAGAATGCACCTTGAAATCTAGAATAACTTCTGATTCCAGCACTGTATGGTAGCGCTTCACACTCCGGCTCGTTCAGTGCTTACCCCGTTCAAATCCGCTGCGTAGTTTTTTTTGCACGTTATGCATAATCCAATACATTTCTACGGGCAAATAGTACCGCCCTCCTCATTATCCACTTCCGCATGCATTCTCAGCGTGAACGTACTTTAGCAAACTCGTGAGGCAAACTGACATTACTAGGCTATCTTATCTATTTTATTTTGAACATTATTGTTTGTTTACAGGGAGACATGAAAACCATGGGATCTATGATTTTTCACCTTTATATAAACTACAAAACTGTGTGTGTGTGTGTGTGTGTGGGTATTACCGAATGTTGAAGATCTACTGTGGCTCCATGTTGTAATAACTTGTCCACCACCTCCACATGTCCATTCTGAGATGCAGCCATCAGTGAACTCCACCCATTCTGACAAGAGGCACAGGGTAGTAGGTAACGACATAAGTACATTCAATTCGGCACAAAACAGTTCTGATGAGTCAGTATCTTTAATTGAAAACTAAGCCAATCTGATCTCTAGTTACAATACCATGTAGTTGTGGTTGTCTGCAGTCACAGGAGTGTTTTTTGATTGAGATATACTCACATGATTACATGTGTCCTGCATGCTAAACTAAATTCTGAACGCATGGGTGGACATAAAGTTATTACCACATACTTTTCTCATGCGCTCACTTACATCACTCAGTCATTCCTGTAGTGTTATATTATCCATAAACAATAAACACCTTATCATGCAGGTCTACTGTGGCTCCATGTTGTAATAACTTGTCCACCACCTCCACATGTCCATTCTGAGATGCAGCCATCAGTGAACTCCACCCATTCTGACGTGACACACAGAGTAGTAGGTAATGAATTTGGCAAAAAAACAGTTTTGATTCAGTATCCATGATAAGTTTCTTACTATACTTGAAGTTAGTGACACACAGAGTAGTAGGTAATGAATTTGGTTCAGTATCTGTCATAAGCCAATCTGAATCGTAGTTTTATCATCTAGGTGGTTTTATAGAGAGTATTACACTAACATGATTACATATCATGCCATGCTAAACCTCACACTGAAATCGTACTTTTGCATTGAGTAGACATGATTAACCTTTCTCATGTGGTCACTAACATTTACTCAAAATAGTGTTTTGCATACCTTATTTTGCAGATCTACTCTGGCTCCATGTTGTAATAACATGTCCACCACCTTCACATGTCCATACTGAGATGCAGCCATCAGTGAACTCCACCCATCCTGACGTAACACAGAGTAGTAGGTAATGAATTTGGCAAAAAACCGGTTATGATTCAGTATCCATGATAAGCCAATCTGAATCGTAGTTTCAGTTGGTTTTCACGCCATAAGTCTGGAAGGCAGTACTTTTAAATAATTTAAAATGAAGCCAGTGTAGCGCTGAATCATTTGGTATCGCTCTTTTGTTGTCCCGTTGCGCGTGGTGGCAGAAAACGTGGTAAAAGACGGACAAACCATAGATAATGATCTTAATCGTCACCAATATAGTACATATCTAAAGCTGTGGTGAGCGGAGCTATATACCATGGGCATTTTCGGGTAAAAAGAAAGACATTGGGGCTGGCTTCTCAAGCAATGAAGCCACATGTTTCTATGCTATTTTGAAAATGATGGATGCTACATGTATATGTAACTGATGTTGCTGATCGCGCACCTGACCTACAAGACGACAGACTTTTTCAGAGAGCTCATAGTATGAAGTATGCATGTTCCCTTCACCTCACTGTTCTGAGATTACGTTTTGCACACGTGTTTGCTTGCATTGCGTATGTACATATAGTGTGTGTACCTCTTTTTGAAGGTCTACTGTGGCTCCATGTTGTAATAACTTGTCCACCACCTCCACATGTCCATTCTGAGATGCAGCCATCAGTGAACTCCACCCATTCTGACGTGACACACAGAGTAGTAGGTAATAAAAAACGGTTTTGATTCAGTGTCCATGATAAGCCAATGTGAATCATAGTTTTATCATCTAGGTGGTTTTATAGAGAGTATTATACTAAGATGATTACATATCATGCCATGCTAAACCTGACGCTGAAATCGTACTTTTGCATCGAGTAGACATGATTAACCTTTCTCATGTGGTCGCTTAAATTTACTCATTATTATAAATAGTGTTTTGCAATTGATATACCTTATCTTGAAGATCAACTGTGGCTCCATGTCGTAATAACTTGTCCACCACCTCAACATGTCCCTCCTGAGATGCATACATCAGTGAACTCCACCCATCCTGACATGAGACACAGACACAGAGTAGTAGGTTATGAATTTGGCAATAAAAGAGTTTTGATTCAGTATCCATGATAAGCCAATCTGAATCGTAGTTTCAGTTGGTTTTCACGCCATAAGTCTGGAATGCAGTACTTTTTATGAAATTCGCCAAATTTAATCCCGCGCACGCGTGCCATGGCGATCTTTCTTTTTGCCGATTTACAGACCTACGCACAGCCTCTATGCCTGCCTTTCAGCCTGCTGAGATATTTATGACATCATGCCTCACTCAATCCGGATAATTTTTTTATAGTACTGAAAGGGGAGATGAAAGCAACATCAAAGCTCCGACTGCCACATCTAAAGGCCGATTGACCGCTTCGGAGGATGCGTGGGTGGTTATTACGAGATAATGCCGCCATGCCGCCCGCCTACCGGGTCAAAGTTCACAATTGTGCAAGTTTTTTTGACGTTTATATTATACATACAAGTGTGTAAATTTACAACTGAGTGTACAGCAAGTGACTGCCAACCCAAAAAGTAGTGTTGAATTGAGTGCCTTATTATTTATGAGTCCGAGAAAGAACTCAGATTTACTCTACTGTCTCACAATAATCCGACAATCAACTGGCACTCCAGCTCCCAGAGCGTAATCCAATGACTCTTTATCCCCATCCCAAGCAGCATTGAGAAGACCGATCTCCTGTGTATACATAGGGACCAGTGATGGCACACAATGCATACAGATGTTTCACTTACATTTAAATGAGGAATGATAATCTCTGTTCCATTGTCACAAACTTTTCTAATACCCTCCTGTGCCATTGCAGTGTAATGAGAGAGAAAAATGGACCACTTCAACAAAAGTATAGTAGTGCCAGTGAAGAGTGAGGGGATGAGGGTGTGGCCATCATACACCAGATCACCAGTGGGGATACAGAGTAGGGAGCTGGTGAGGCTGTGTATGGTGTTGTACTGTGCTCTTGTGAGGGTAGAACCCTCCAATTGAGCAGTGATGAGGCGGCTATCTGGAGGAGGAGGAGAGGGCTGGGTACTTGACTCTCCAGAGATCATGACTTCATCTTCCTCTTGTTGGTGGCAGACTGCCTCACCCTTCAGGAGACTCTGGAACTCTGAGAATGAAGGACCTTGACTGATGTATGTATAATGTTTTAGGAACTCACTGTTACGGAGTCTCGCTGAAACATGTAACTGCCCTGCAGTAGCCAAAGCCATACAGAATGTTGGGAACATCCCCACAACTATATTCTTAGCTTCTCGGAGTGCGTCTACTATTATATGTACTTTCTCTAGTTGACTGCTCTTTGCCCAAACTTCTTCTCCTTGTGGCTGTGTCAGCAGCCTTCGTTGCACCAGGTGTGGAACTACTTCATCTGGTGACATCTCCTCCAACAGGTAGCTGTAATTGGTATCAATAGCCTGAAGCCCTAGTCGAATCACCTTCCACTCCAACTGCATGGCTGTAAATGAGTAAAGTAAAGCACAACTCATTATAAAACAAAACAGATTACCGAAAGAAGAGTCGTAGACGATGAATCCGTCAATGGTGAGAGTGGTGACGTGATGCTCCATCATGCTCTGACTGCTGGGCTTGACAGAGTTCTGGATGTAGGTCACCAGAGAACGAGGAACCCGCCATGTCACCTCCACACACCCTCGAGCCACTTTCACGAGGTTGAGGGAGAAGTCGTACAAGGACAGCTCCCGGCAGACTTGAATGCGAAACTTCTCAACATCTTCCAGTGTAGCGGTTCTCCAGTCCATTGTCGTGCTTGCTAACCATCGTGGTGAACCTTCCGTTGATATCTTCTGGCTCATCAGCGCAAACGTCCGAAAATACTTCAAGCCTTGTTTCTTTCCTAAATGCTTTCAACTTATTCTCGTACTTTTCCATCTTTTTCTTCAGATCATCGCTGCCGTAGAGATCAACGACATACTTCAACAGAGTGTAGTGGAGGTAGTCATTAATAATTATGTGCAGTTAGGTGCTGTGGGTAGAGTAGCACTTGAAAGGCTTTAGGCCAGTAGGGGATTTCCCAACAGGAAATGCTTTGAAAGGTGAGTAGCAATATAATGTCTAGATAGCTGAGGTAATTAATAATTCATAAGCACTGTTTATTACCCTGTGGGAAACACTGCATAGCACAGATGATCTTGTGGGCCACACTACATGGTCTAGCTAAGCCAGTGTCTTGCTTAGGCTGGCAGCGATAACACGAGTAGCATCTGGGGACTGAGTACTCGTCCTCTGAGATACCTACTCATCCCCCCACAGTGTGAACGGGCAAACACTGGCCATAATTATTTTCAGTCAAAAACCTTAATAAAAGTTTGGTTGTGACATGCCAGATGAAAGTCAGAAGGAGAAGGAAAAGGGGACAGACATAAAATTCCCTGGATTCAGACCCTACTTTTTAGTAAACCCACTGGTGTTAGAGACAAACGTGGCGGTTGCTAGCCTAGTTCCTAGGCCGCCCCCTCTATGCACACACATTCTATAATGTATAACCTTTGGCATAAAAAATGTGCTATTTTCTCTCGTCTCAGTGATTTCTTTATTTAGTAGTACGAAAGAATTGATTCTTAGGCTAGAACGAATAATTGTAAACCTGGCACCGCTAGGATTGGTACAAGAACCTTCCGTTTATCCATCTATCACTTACGGAATGTCAAAATTATGGGGTAAACCTATACGCAGTCTTGCTGTATCCATTCATTAGGTATATTATTATACACGCAACCAAATTATACACTGGCTAATGAGGATAACTCACAATAAGGAGCCCAATACCTGGCTACAAGGGGAAAATCCCAAATTCTTGTGTGTAGATTCACCCACACACTGTCTTCATAGCTATTACACTCTTTGGATAATTATGACCCATCACGGCATTCATTCCCAGTTACTATATGCTGTGTGTACTATATGTAGTCAAGGTAGTCATAGTGCTCGCCAATAACACGAACCGACCACATACATTACTTCATCCGTTGATTCTAATTCTATGATATCAGCCTTTGCTTCCCTGAGGAACCTTTTGTGTCTTGTTTGAGATTAGATGGAAGACAGAGGAGGGAGTAACGCAACATTCTGCAACCAGTTCTTTAGCAGGACAAACGGAGATAAGTCAATGTATTCTTTCTGCAACTTATCAATCTTTCCTTTTGTCATTTTTACTTCTTGGTCTAATGGTAAAATGAAAAAGACTAAATACCCTTGCTACAAAGGGAATGTGTGCATGTATATTAGAAGTATGAACTTAGCACCTGCAATAAGGCAAAATATGCAGTAGCAGTGTTTCCCGCAGCATTATAACTACAGGGCGCTCCACCCTGATTGAAAAAGCCGGAAAATCGGCGTGTAAAATTATTGCGCATGCGTAAAATGCTAATATGCGCAGTTAGGTGCTCCGTATAGCTAGCTAGAGTAGCACTTGAAAGGCTTTAGGCCAGTAGGGGATTTCCCAACAGGAAGTGTTTTGAAAGCTGAGTAGCAAGTAATGTTTTTTAGCCAGAAAGCTGAAATAATTAATAATTCATAAGCACTCTGTTTGAGTATTACCCCGCTGGAAACACTGCATAGCACAGATGATCTTGTGGGCCACACTACATGGTCTAGCTAAGCCAGTTTCTTGCTTAGGCTGGCAGCGATAACGCGAGTAGCATCTGGGGCAATGCTGGACTGAGTACTCGTCCTCTGAGATACCTACTCATCCCCCCACCATAATTATTTTCAGTCCAAAATGTTAATAAAAGTTTAGTGTTGACATGCCAGATGAAAGTCAGAAGGAGAGGGAAAAGGGGACAGACATAAAATAAATCTTGATTCAGACCCCTACTTTTGCTATAGAAAGAAGTACCCACTGGTGTTCGATACAGTTTTGCTGGCCTAGTTCCTAGGCCGCCCCCTCTCTGTGCACACACATTCTCTGCTGTCACATCGCCGGCACATCATTTATTCGCATGACCTTGAGCCTAGTGCCCCCCGTACCCCATGGCACACACTTTATCCCCCTCTCTGTGCGCACAATAACCTTTGGCATAAAATATGCTCTTGAGAGAGAACGAGGCTAGTGGCTGCCTCAGTGAAAATAAATACTAGACTGCGAGAACAATGGATAGTACAATTGCTGAGCTAGTGTACAATCCTGTCTACGCCTGTGTAACCTTTGGTGTCTCCACTGTCAAATGAGGTATTGGCCACAGTCAGTGATGTACTGCTCATGGATAATGCTGCATCTCCAGCCCTTGTATTGGGTACTTCAGCTGTTGATACGTAGGAGAATAATTATTGCATCAGGATACTGACTGTAGGTATATACTCAACCTACCAGTTGTTAGCTTTGCTGAAAGCTTATTTGCCACATCAGACATGGCAACAGTAGGATGATTTAATGCATCGTAGAGATCTCTCCAGGTGCATGGCTCAATCTTCTTCAACCTGGTCTTGATCATGAGGTTGAACTTCTTGTCAAGACTCATCCCTCCTTCAGCTTCAATGCTCTCCAGCTCATGGACGTCTAGTTTGAGTCGGGTTCCAATGTTATCCCATTTTGATCTGGCGGCCCACAGAGCCTCTTGGACTTCGGCAAAGTCATCAATACCCAACTGGAAGAATATTCGGTGGTAGTATAGTTAAAGCAGCTAGGTATGAACATGCCCCGCCCTCAAACGTTACCCTTGTAAAAAGGGTTTGTTTCCGTGATGACCAACACCCGCCTACCTGATCAGACATGGTCAAGATAAGCGACGTCGATGTTACTGGCAGTTTTCGTGATCCCAGCGGAGTAGAAGCTTCCTCCGTGTGGTATGGATATGGGTGGGACTGTGCACTGTCAGCAGCTAGCTAGCGTAGCGGAAAATAAACAAAGCTATGCGCGTGCGCGCGCTGAAAGCACTTGTGGGTGGGGCTGGACTCGGACTTCGCGCGCAGCTCCAGCAGTCAACGGTTGTAGGTTCAACATAATTATTGCAATGGACACAATTAAATGTAAGAGTGTAGTGCCATGCATGGAGGCATATGGATCATGCAAATACACAATCTGTGTGATGATGTTTTAAAATATGCTGTTGGGACTTTGAGGGCCACATCTTTGTCACTGTCATACAGTGATAACAACGGGACATGATCCATCTGAGCATGGAACCTTTTGACCACTTCGTCCACTGTTTCTTTCATCAGAGAAGTGTCAGGGTGCTGTATGAAACGAGAATAATGTGTATATTATTTATATCTAACATCTTGACTAACATAAACCTAATACAGACACACATGAACATGTTGCTGATCAAATCTACCCGTTGCCACAATTTTAGCATTGCACGTAAACTAACCTCTGTGATATCAGCTGTAGCTTGTGGCTCCATTAGTTCAATTACGGCACACAAATCCCAAAATTCATTGGCTGATGCCACATCGGATGCTGTGATGCCTTCCTGCAATTATGAAAATCTCGAAATGTTAGGTATATAGAAGGCTGTGTGACATACCACATTCCTAATCTTTGCATCAGCTCCGTGTTCCATGAGACCATTACTGTGTCCAGATGACCCTCCCTTGCAGGCAACATCAGAGCTGTGTATCAGTTTTCCCTGAATTACATAATAGGCTTGTCATAGTATGTCAATCAATCTCACATATTAGAACTTTACTGATTGCTGGAGGTCAGGATTAGCCTGATAATCAAGTAGAAGTTTTGCATCTCTGAATTTCCATCACTCACAACACATCAGCAAAGCTGAAAGTCCTTCTATGAAGAAAAGGAATGTAACCATTGAGTCGTGTATAAAATGGTGCAGAAACATGGTAAATGACAGACCAAAGAACTACAGTGGAACTCTGATAAAGGACCCTCCACATTGTTCATTGTTTTTTCTTACAGCCAACAGTAGTGGAGTCTGTCCAAACTGTGAGGAATAGTATGAACAAGCTGGCAAAACATAGGGATTGATAGAGGCAATACCTTGTTGCAGCCATTTGGGCAGGCAACAGCTCTGAGAAGGACTGAAGCCGGAGTCAAGTCGTTGTTTGGTACAGTTGAGTAGGATCGAGATTGCCGGTGAAGTGAGAGCAGCACACGCCCCAGTGAATCCGTTCAGTGAAGGAGTCACTGGGGTAGCGTAGCTATATAGTATGTAGCTGAATAGTGGTGAGGGTTGTCAAGACCTGTGCTTTTCACTTTGCTGTAGTAGTAACTAGTATTGAACGCGCATGTGGCTGTAGTGTAGCTAGTAGCCATTGGCTGCTGAAATAAAGATTAAAGTGCCGACGGTTATGCACTTTCAAGTGCTTTTCATTTTATTTCGACTTTCACTTTAGTAACAAACCTTCTTGCTCTTTTTTGAGATTAGATGGAAGACAGAGGAGGGAGTAGCGCAACTTTTTAACTGCAACACTATTGCTAAATTCTTCAGCAGCACAAATGGAGACCAGGGCCGGGCGTCGCCGGTACGGCCGGTCCGGTTTTGGCCGGACCACTTTTATGTGATCGGCTGCGCATACGCATGCGCATGTAATGATGAAGAGGGTGTGGCGTCTCGTGGAGCGCGGGTAGTGGCTCTTGTCGGATCGGCGCGGCGGGGACAGTGTTAAAGATAATAGCCAGCGGTGCCCACTCGCGGCCCTTTTCACGTTGTGATCTATGTATGTACTTGACTATGTAGTCCGAAACGATGCCATATTATTTGGCCAGATTGCACCAGAAACACTCAGAATGTCCTAAATTTCAAAATTTTCTTGGGAGAGCATGCCCCCAGACCCCCTAGTGGGCGGGATCGCGCGCACGCTAGGGTTGGCCTGACCACTCATAAATTGCTCGCTCGTCCCTGGAGACTGCACGCCGGGCTCGTCGATCAGAACGTAGCCATTCCCTGTACCTTGTATCATCTCTCTAGTGCTGCATCCCTGCCTCCACCCGGGGTGTGATGATTGCGCATGCTTACAAGCAGCACGATACCCGCGCTGCATAATCCTAGATGGACACGTGTGTGCTATGTACGTCGTTTGGCACAACAACATAAAAACTCAACGAAATTCACGACGCAGTTCATATGCTAGTCTAATTTCATTCACAGAAGGGACCGAAGGGCAGATGACTATGTAAGCCCCATGTGAGGTTTACTATACTGAGATACTGCTTCCATGGTCCTAAATAACAGACATGAATCGGTCGAAACTGTCATCTCATCTTTCTTGAATAGCCCTTATCTCCCTCGCCTCAACTCCACTGACAGACCACTTTCTTCCACGTGTCGGAAATGACTGCTGCCACCACGTTTGCAAGGACACTCATTGCAGGGGCTGCCTCACCTGATGCACCTCCTCCTGAACCTAGATAATAATGTAGCAGGAAACATTACACTTAAGTTCAAGAAGCAGTTGCTTCATTCTAACGTTGTCGCAGCATTTTGTCACCGATATCAATGTATTGTTTCTGCAACTGATCAATCTTTTCTCATTGTTAGGCTAGAACGAAAAATTTTAAACCTGGCACCGGTAGGATTGGTACAAGAACCTTCCGTTTATCAAACACTTACGGAATTCAAATTATGGGGGTTAAACCATCACGCAGCCCATGCTGTACCCATTCATTATTTATAGGTATAATATTATACACTCAACCATATTGCAAATTATACACTGGCTAATGTCACTCATTGACTGTTATCATAAGGAGCCACAAGTCCCATACTTTGAGCCTGGCTACAAGGGGAAAATCCCAAATTCTTGTGTGTAGATTCACCCACACACTGTCATCATAGCTATTACAATCTTTCGATAATTATGCCACATCACGGCGTTCATTCCCAGTTACTATATGCTGTGTGTACTATGTGTAGTCGAGGTAGTCATAGTGTTCGCCAATACCATGAAGCGACCACGTATATTATTTCATCCGTTGATACTGCTTCTTTGCCATTGCTTCCCTGAGGAAGGAACCTTTTGTGCTGTGCAAAGTCTTCAGAAGTATGTGAGCATGAAAAATGATTTCCCTGAAACGTCTGCATTCGAGAGATACGCCGTGAAAACAAGTGAAAAAGCATAATTGCACCAGCTTACGTCGACCGATCCGCTTGCTGTTGTACCTTGTGGAGGCACAAGATGTCACCACGAAGGCCGTACATCCACTCCCGCACGGCATGCTATCTTATAGTGTAGCTAGCCCGTGTCAGACTCTCTGCGACCAACTAGCGTGGAGACCACGAGTAAATGCATACTCATAGCCCAGCCCGGTGTCGCGCATGCATAATGCGCCGAGGGTTTGCACGTCCATTATAAAGGGAATGTGTGCATGTATAATGGCAGCACGGACCTAGCACCTGCAATAAGGCAAAATATACATAGCACAGATGATCTTGTGGGCCACACTACATGGTCTAGCTAAAGCCAGTTTCTTGCTTATGCTGGCAGCGATAAAGCGAGTAGCATCTGGGGCAATGCTGGACTGAGTACCACCCCCCCAGTGTGGACGGGCACACTTGGCCATAATTATTTTCAGTCCAAACTTTAATACAAGCCAGCATAGAGCTGTGATTACTACTGGTTTGGTGGTTACTGAAAGCCAGAAGGAGAGCGAAAAGGGGACAGACATAAAATTCCTTGGATTCAGACCCTACTTTTTAGTAAACCCACTGGTGTTAGAGACAAATGTGGTGGTTGCTAGCCTAGTTCCTAGGCCGCCCCCTCTACGCACACACATTCTATACATATAACCTTTGGCATAAAAAATGTGTGCTTGGAGAGAGTAAAAATTACTAGACTGTGAGAACAATGGATAGCAGTATCAATGTTCCATATCCTGTCTATGCCTGTGTAACCTTTGGTGTCTCCACTGTCAAATGAGGTATTGGCCACAGTCAGTGATGTACTGCTCATGGATAATGCTGCATCTCCAGCCCTTGTATTGGGTACTTCAGCTGTTGATACGTAGGAGAATAATTATTGCATCAGGATACTAACTGTAGGTATATACTCAACCTACCAGTTGTTAGCTTTGCTGAAAGCTTATTTGCCACATCAGACATGGCAACAGTAGGATGATTTAATGCATCGTAGAGATCTCTCCAGGTGCATGGCTCAATCTTCTTCAACCTGGTCTGGATCATGAGGTTGAACTTGTCATCCAGACCAAACCCTGTCTCAGCACCAATGCATTCCAGCTCATGAACATCTAGTTTGAGTCGGGTGCCGATGTTGCGCCATTTTGATCTGGCGGCCCACAGAGCCGCCTGGACTTCGGCAAAGTCTTCAATGACCAACTGGAAGAATATTGGATGGTATAGCTAGCTTGAACATATATAACCCCGCCCTCAAAATGTAAAAAAAAAGCATCTAAAAGGCTTGTTTCCGTCATGACCAACACCCGCCTACCTGATCAGACATGGTCAAGATAAGCGACGTCGATGTTGACTGGCAGTTTTCGTGATCCCAGCGGAGAGTAGAAGCTTCTTCGTCCGTGTGTGTATGGATGGGTGGGACTGTGCACTGTCAGCAGCTAGCGCAAATAAACAAAGCTATGCGCGTGCGCGCGCTGATGCACTGTGGGCGTGCTGGACTCGGTACTTCGCCAGCGTGGTGACCGCTCGCGGTATAACTCCAGTGACAAGTCTGTACTCGGGCCCTGTGGCGTGCGATGCACTATGTCTGCAAGACTGGCGACTCACCACACCCCCGTTTTTGTGCCAGCACCACCGATCGATTCTACAGCTTCACCTGGATGACGATGCTGCATGTCACTCGGAATCGTCACGTGGGGAAAGCTGTACCGTCCAAGACCCATCATCAGCTGCCGTGAGCGAAGTCAACTCACTGCCGAATATAACGGTGACTCACCCGAAACACGCTTGTGTCCGCCGGCTTTTAGAGCTACCGAGTGCATCCACTTCGACCAGGGACACACGTACGATTTCTCTGAGCTTTCAAAGTCCGTGGGGAACTGGCAGGCGGAAGGACCTGATGGTTCTGTCTACTATATAAACCTTGTCAACCATTGAACAGAGTGGCTGGTTTGCATTCCGCTCTCTGCCGTGTGTCCGCATGAAAGCTGGGTGGATAAGACAGAGTTCACATTCCGATCTCGGTTCTGCAGGCTAGCGACGTCGTTCAAAGTGACCGGCGTAGTTGGGCGACGAGAAGAAGAACCTCTCTTCTCTTCCGTAGTGCCCTCCGTACGTTGTGGCAAAGTGTACCTCTATTGGAGTTCATCTGCAACCCTTCAGCTGGTTCCAGGGTGAGATTTATTACTGTTCATATACTCTCTTCCTCCTTCTTTTTCTATAAGGGTCAAAGTTAACCACAACTACAAAACGCTAATATTAATGGCCCGCGCCAATATGTGAATCTGTAAATCCGCTCAATAGAATGGCCCTCCCAATATTCCGGTTTTACAGTATGCCTACTTGCTGTACGTGTCTCCCTGCAGTCTGGGCCTGTTTTCCAGTCGGGCGGAGACGAGGCTAATCTCTGCGAATTCTCCTTCACCTGGGAGACTCCGGGGGCGTGTCCCGTGAGACCTGCCCACTCATCCTCCTGCTCAGTACGCGACCCACGTTGACTTGTCTCCATAATGTGCGCATAGGAAGTACACATGAAA